CACAGCAGCAGATCTGCTGACCGTTCAGCTCCCAGCTCTCAAATCACAGCACAGCAGACACTCCTCTGAGCTCCATCCTGCAGCTATTCCTGTTTCTGCTTTGGAAGTCTTCCCATGTCTGTGGCTGGCTCAACCACTTAATGGGGTCCTGGGGTTTTTCCCAAGATGAGGACGCTCACTGAAGGCTATTCACTAAGCGAACAGAGAAATCCTGCAGTGATACCCAATACTTGGGGCCACTGCACTGAAAACCCCATTCATTGTTGCCAAGCCACCAGGGGCAGCCACACAGCTGCAGTTTTACCTGCTTATTTGTTTATTTAATGAGTAACTGTCACTTTTTAGCTCGGTAATGTCAGATTTCTGCTCCAAAAGGATACGCACACACTCACACGCGTGTATACATTTCCTGCTTGGCAGGCTGAGCCACAGCACGGGTCTGAATGCCTCTCTCAGAAGCACAGAGCACCACACAGACACAAACATTGCTGGGGGTACCTCAGCTCAAACATCACAGCCCTATCGATGCACCACTGCGAGCCTGGGGTATCATTTAGGAACCCTTAAAGAAAAAAAAAAAGAAAAAAAGCTGGTCATATTTCCTTTTGCATTTCATATCTGGGATGCACCACATGTCCTGCATCTGCATTCAGTCCTAGCCTGTACCCGATCTTTTTTAGCTAGAGTTTTCTGAAGCAAATTTATTGGCGTTTGAATTTCGCAGTGCTGAGACTCACGAACAAAAGCAGCAGAGTGCTTCTTCTTCTGGCTGCGCACGTAAAAATGCTCTCTGTTTTCAGTTTTGGCCAGAACGCCTGCAAAATGTGGTTGGAAGTTATACTTTCTAACCTGGCTTTTATCATCACTCTCAGGAAGCTGTAAAGAGTAAGCACTTTTAAAGTGAAATCACTTGAGTTCAGTAGTTCTGGAACCTGGCTTTTAAGGTTGGAAATGGCCCTCAAGGGCACGAGGACATTAATGCCTCAAATTTTAAAAGTGTCTGAGCTTTTAGTTTCTGAATCAAGTCAGAGCCTACGTAAACTAAGCACAGGAAACCTCAGATGCAGAGATAAAGTACATTTGGGAAACTATCAAACTAGACAGTTGAAGATCAAAGCTCTCACAGTTTGCTATAACGTGTTCTCTGGCCCTGTTGTCTTTTCATGAAATTGAAATTTCACATCAGTATCAGCACCACACTTAGACAAAGGAACTGAGAGTGTGAAGAATCAGAAAAATGCTTATTTCAGGTGGAAAGCCTGATGCTAGCCTTGTCATTTCCCTTAAAGCAGGTGCTGGCCAATTCTGCAGCTTATCACAACATAGCCTTAGATACGTGGAAAAAGAAATGTCAGTTCATATTACACTCTCTAATTAAGAATTCTATGCAAGCATTAAGCTTAATGCTGTGTATGACTTGATAATTTGTTAGCTATCCCTGCATTTGCATTGATTCTAGCTTCTCTGTACAATAGAGAAGCTCTATTAAGAGCAATATGAGCTCTTAACATCGGTGACTCCCTATGTCACTATGAGATGCATTATGTCCCTGATAGATGAATTAAATATTGTCTGTATGACTTTCTCTGTTCTGCACCATCTCAAAGTACACATCAGCGTATGGAGAGGGAACTGCACATACACAGAACCATACAACAGTGTAGGTTGGAGGGGACCTCAAAGGTCACTGAGCTCCAACCCCTGCCACGGGCAGCTCTGCCAACCACTAGATGAGGCTGCCAGGGTCCCATTCAACTGGCCTTGAACAACAGGGTGCATCACAGCTCTCAGAAGCCTTCCTCTCCTCACAGCTCGCTGCTGCGAGATCCTGTCTCACACGACATTAAGCAGCAGGCTTGAAATCTCACAGTAGACAAACCAAAGTCTGTCAGCCCTTCCTAAATGAATTTACAAGTGGGGAATGGGAGAACGAGATGAATGGCATGGGATGGTTGTGCACGAGTGCAGGGAAGCAACTGAAAATATTTGTGGAGATCTAAGCACACCAGCCCAAAAATACACACATACTTTCCACTATTTAAATATCTTGTCTCTGGGTGGAAGCCAAGCATTTTTCTATTTATTTCCACTTATACCACCGAGATACAAAAGAATTTAATCCCTTCATTCAGTATGTTAAGAAAACAGCAGAAGGCTGAGCATCCTGGAAAAGGACAAGGTGTTAGGAGGATGCTAACTCATCGAGCATCCAGTGCTGAAGGAACGAAAGCATTTCCGGTTGCTGCAAGCTCTCTCTCAAGGGAGATGTGAAAAGGCTGCATTTGGTCCTTGTAAGAAGCCAAGTTCCGCCTGTGATAAGCATTAGGAACACATGCAGCGATACCTCTTGTTTCCAGCCTTCCTGACAGCTACTTCCAATTTGCATTTCTAAGCGGAATTAGCAGAGGAAGGAGATTTACACATTCCATGCTGGTGGGGACCGTTTGGCATGAGCTCCTTGCAGAGAGGCTCCTGTGGAAGCCCAAACCTCCAGTTAACCTTCAGTCAGAGGGCAAGAGTAACAGAAGAGCTGACCCTTAGCTGAAGACCGTGGACTTGTGCTAAGGGCAGTCTGGCTTCAGGCCACCAGCTCCCCACGTGCCATTATATAAGTCATTCAAACTCTTGGTCTTTACCCATCTTCACAGGGGTTGAATCCATTTGTCTGACTTACATCACTGCTGATTAAGAAAATCTTTTTTACTGATTGACCAGTGAGCCCATCTCACGCAAAAACTGTGCTTCCGAGATCAAGGCAAGGCAGCTATAGTCACTCTTAAGAAACACTTACCAGTGCTATCGTTGTGTCTTGCAGGAAAACAGCTGTCGCAGCTGGAGAGACCAGAGCTGGTTATGCTCATAGCTACCCTCTGTTCCCCATGTAATTCCTCCACCCATCCTCATCAACTTGCTGCTTGTGGCTAATGCCAAGCTGGTCCTCCTTCCTGATCTGAGACTGCTTTTATGAGGCGAGGCTTGTCACAGTTACTTACAGTCACTGACAGCACAGCCAAGAAAACCCGTGCCTCTCTCTAATTTCAAAGACTACAAGGACAGAAATTCACACTACTGTAATAATGCCAGTCTGAGACCAAGGGTGCCTCCGCAGGAGAAAGGCACAGAGAGGAACTGGGTCTGTACAGCTCCTGACACTAGCAAGAGAAAAAGGAGAGGGAGGTGTGGTCTGATTAGGGTAAAGGAAGCAACACATTTGGTATCAAGTCAGTGTGAAGTTGCTTTGCTCTGAAATGCCAAACCACCTTTGGCAATGCCTAAAACTCAGCCTAGGAGAGAGATTATTCTAAAAATGTAATTTGTAGCTAAATGGATTTCTCTCAGACCCATGAAATATTCACATTTGCTTCACATGATTACAAACTTGCAGGACTGCAGCCTCCCCACATGCCACCTCATTGGCTGCCTCCAAAAGGCTGTTGGCCTTCCCTAGCACCTTGTATCTTGCCAAAACTCGTATTTTCCAGCAATCTCAGGGTCCAAACATACTGTTTACTGGTTCAGCTTAGAAATCCCTAGACCTCTTTGACACACAGACAAGCCTGAGAAAAGACATTGCAGGCTGCAAGCAGATACAGGGACTATCCAGGCCTTCTGCAGGACTAGCTGAATGTGAAATGACAGAGCTGTAATGCTATAATGTGATGGAAAGTACAGCAATAGAAGCAGGGTGGCACAACCCTAGGCTGCAGCAAACAAGAACCAGCCCAAACACAGTAGCTGCAGACACAGAAACAGAGGAATAAAACCAGCTTACCTTTAGAAGGTCTCCAATAGGCAGGATCTCCAGAGAGACCCTCACCTCTATTGCCAACCCTTAATGAGGTCTGGGAAGGGGTGGATCTTGGCTCCACTCCTCCTGGTCACTCAGATACAATGCAAACACCTGAGCTCCCCTGGGAGGCCCTGCCTTCCCACCAGGTGATCAATCAGTCAGGCCATGATTCAGCATTTTTACTACAGGAGCTGAAGGCTTCCTGCCCTAATTTGTCAAGATAGCATAATGAACTGTAAGAGCAGGCTGTCAGGGTCACTTTGCCAGCCATTTATTTGCCGGCAGAGCTAATGCCAAGTCAGGCTGCAGGATTCTGTGTGCTGTGGAGGCCTCCCTAAGCCAAACAAGAGGCCCGTGCTGCATGTTTCTGCACAGGGCTGCAAGGTTTAGGTGCATGGCTAAACTTTGCTTTGTAAAAAAAAAAGCAAATATAAATATCCTAACTTGTATCATGAACAGGTTGCCCAAGTAGGTTGTGGATGCCCCCATCCCTGGAGGCATTCAAGGCCAGGCTGGTTGGTGACCCTGCACACAGCAGGGGGTTGAAACTAAATGATCATTATGGCCCTTTTCAACCCAGGCCATTCTATGATTCTGGGACCATGTATCTACAGAAATACATAAATATAAAGCAGAAGCGGACTCGGAATCTCAGCAAAGCTGTGACGGATTCAACCATAAGGAGACTTATGTGACTGGAAAGCCACAGGCAGAGCTGGAGATCCCACTGGAAACAGCTGCAATAAAATCAGGTATATACTCACTGTTTTTCCCCGGTTTCTGAGTCGATCAGATGCAGCTTGGTGTCCTCTGGGCTGTGTAACTGAGCGACTCCTCTTCCATCCTTCAGTGTCGATGCCCCCTAAGGCAGGTGGAGCTGCCTGGGATGCCTCTGAAGCCTCCTGCTTCCACACCAAGCAGCTCCAGCATTAAGCCTCTGTGCGGCGGGCTGGGATACCAGATGTGCTTCTCAATCCCTCCAGGGCTCCCCAGAGCACCTGGAAATGTTCAGACTGTTTTGCAAACACATGTGAGAGCCAACATGGCCACGCAGCTCCCTCCCTCACCCTGGGGCGAGGTGTGAGGAGAAAGGACTGAAAATCCTGTGCTGTCACAGCCCAGCCCTTCATGGCTGCTGGGTAGGACGACCCACAGGCCGCCCTCCCAACATCACAGAGAACACCTGAAAAACACCCCCACACCGAAGGCATCGTTTTGATATGATGTATTTATATTTACATGGTACATTTTAAAGCAATAGCTACACGGATCATACATATTAGAAACAATAAAAAAAGAAGTTAAGAACTAAAATGTACATCATACACTTGTATATATATTTTTTACACAGAGGTAAAAAGGCTTATAAAAATCAATACAACAGGGTTTTAACTTTTAGTATATAGATACAATAATGATGAGGCTTCAGGCACTTTAATTTGTTAATGTGAGCGATAGCTTGAAAAAAAAACAAACATTTTTCATGACAGAAAACAAATTTGGTTAATGTTTCGTTACCACAGATACAAAAATAAAATCTGAATAATTTCTCTCGAATGATTGATGTCAGTATTGCAAAGCTGACTGGGAGAACGCTACACACTGTTCAGCAGCAGTGTGGAAAGTAAGGAGGAATATTTACAAAAAACACCCATTTCTATCATTGTGCCCTTACACCACTGCCTTCACAAACCCAAGAACGCACGCAGCAAAAATCTACAAGTATTACAAAAACCCAACAGGAAAAGAGGGAGGAAGAAGGAGGGAGGAAAAACTGGAAAAAAAAAAAATAATAAGGGAGGGTTTTTTTTTTTAATGATTATTTTTTATTTTTATTTTCAGACATACGGAAAGGCTTGGAGTATGTCTACTTTACTTAAATAAATAGGGGCACTTCAAGACCGGACAAAAAACTGTAAGATCTTTTTTGTAGTGTTGTGCTTTGTAGAGAGAAGATCTTACAGATGTTTGTTTACATGAAACAACTCGGAGAACAGAAATAAAAGGAAAAGGTTGTTCCATAAAATTGTTTTCGAGGCTGGCTTGATGTTTACTAGACACCATTGAGAGATTTGTCAACTGCTATTAGGCACAAAATATTTATATTTCATTCAGCAAACCCAGACGCATCACCGAGTGTGTAACACTCCATCCCTTTTGCATTATCATTCTTTTTCTTTTCCAACCAAAAGATCCCCAGCAACTGCTACAAATTAAGCCTACCGAACTCTATAGTGTATAAGCACGTTGCATACTTTGTTCATGGTTTACTAAAAAGCTGTGATTAACTCTCAGAGGAACCGTTGGGACATTCCACCAAGACAAAATGGCAAGCGTTCCTTTTACATTTATTTGGCAAAAAAAAAAAAGAAAAAAAAAAAAAGAAACAAAATCCTCTCTTTTAAGACTGATGTCAATGTGCAATAGAGGGAGGGAAAGGACATGCGCTCACTGGCAATTTACTGCAGAAAGAAATTATGGCAGGAACAGCAGTGCCAGCTTTGACAAGCCAATCCCTAGCTGCCTCAAAGTATTCAGATTGTACTATGCTAGTTAGAGCTCACTGCGCTAAATCATTTTTTTTTTAATAAAAATTATTTGGCTATTCCTGTAATATATTAGAAAAATACTCTTTTTTTTCCAGCTAATTACAAGCCTTGTACACAAGACAACATGACATTTAAAAAAAATTAAAGTAATTTTATCCCGCTGTATGCACCTTATGCATCCACTTGATAAATCTGGGTGGTGAACTAGGGAGGGGAAAGTGAGGGAGACGCTTCGGTCTGGCTCCTGCAAAGACTCCTGTGATTTATCCTATACAAAGAATTACATAAATGCTGGTTGCATATGCATTACATTGGACATCTGTAAGCATCCGGAGAATCAGAACCGTAGGTCAGGAAATGAAAGTGGTGGTTAACATCCTGGCTTTTGATTTTCAATACCTGTTTAGACTGCTAAACGTAGTTTCTACCGTGAGCACACGTGTTCTGGTGCTCACATATCATACAGGAAAAAACAAACAAACACTATTTTCCATATAATCCACCACTTAATGCAGCATTTCCCCAGAATTGCCATGGATTACAATAGTGCTTTTGACATTGCATTGTTAATAATTCTTTGCATAACAACAATTTTCCTCATCTGGAACTGTAGTGTTTTATACTCAAATCATTACATGGCTGTCTAAAGAAAAAGTTCCCTTCTTTTGGGCAGAACTCTGAAAACAGAGTTTTATTTTTCCAAAGTTATTTAGGGAAAAAAGAAAACACTAAAATGTAAAGTTTCCCTTTCAAGTAGTGGTCTGAAATGATTACAGGTAAGGAGAACTACCAGATTCTCAATGGTTATGTGACTATGGTAACTGAGCTTCGCTTTCTGTTCGCAGAGCTTTAAGAACAGAGAAATAATTTAAGATGTTTGCTGAAGGAAATGACGATGGACTCTAGAAGAGAAACTGCAGCTTACATGGCTATTTTGGCTTTGGAAAACAGAACAAAAAAACAAAACAAAAGAAAACCAGTGACAGAAATACTGTGTTGTGGTACAAGTTTGTTACTAGCACACCTTCCATACACACAATAACTTGACAGCAAGTTAAAATATCTTCCAAGTGAGATCTCGTTCACTACGCCACCCCGCTTAGAGAAATGCCAAAACTTGCTGGCACACCGATGGTACCGCGCGAGCAGAGGCAAGACGGACACAACCTGGAGATGTTCTACAATCCACCACCATTTAAAGCAGTTCTTAAACTCGTTTTAACTGAAAAAATAATATAAACATGTACAAGACAGTCTGTTTGATTACAGATTAATAATACAAAAGTCTATGCTGTACGTTAGTTAGTTAGAACACTTGATGAGCAAATCAATGCAGTGTGAGCCCCAGACGATCGAACGTAAAATGATCCAAACTGGTGGTTTCTGGATGCTGCTGGGCACAGTGGCTGCATCAAAATAAGTGATCTCAATGCTCCAAAACCAATGTGTTCCCCGAACTACAGGAAAAACATAACACACCGAACTCATTTGTAGTCATCCAGCAGCTTTGTGTTTTCCACCACAGCACCTGCACATGACCCCACAGTGGTAACAAGCCCGAAGCGGCAAGTAACAGCACATACATGGAGCAATGAAAGACAAGGCGATAAGGGCCATCCACCGGAGGCAAAACATTTCATCACTGGTGTCACACGAACAAGGATCTGTAAAGTCTCCTTCCGGATCGGACATACAGTGATAGAGCATAGTGTCTGCACACCACATACAGCTCACTCGATGGATGCAAGTCTTGATGCGGTCAGGAGCATCCTGGCATTGACCCCGTTTGTTCTCCTCATGATTGAACATGTCCCTGCAGTACACGCACCGTGACCTCTCACCATCCTCCTTCCGTCTGGGCTTGAATTTGACAGGTTGAGTCTTTATCACAGCACCCTTGATATCTTCACCCAGGTCAAAGTCTGAGTTGTCTACGTAAGGATAAGTGTACTCGTGTTTTGAGGACTCGCTTTTGGCAAAACGTACGTAGGAGTCCACGTCATCAGGATCGAAGTTCTTTCCTCGTGCTGGGGCATGGCGATAGTCCTCATATCCAGTCATCCAAATCTTCTCCCGAGGATTGATGCGTACTATTTCCTCATCGTCATCTGGAAAGTTGACGTGCCGGTAGGATCGTGGTACTGACTGTAGAAGCAGGGATGGAGATAAAGAGGGAGAAAAGATTAATAAGCTGTTTGCACGAAGAATCACAGAATTATGGAGTGGCTTGGTTGGAAGGGACCTTAAAGATCACCTAGTTCCAACCCGCCGGCTGAGGGCAGGGCTGCCCCTCACAAGCTCAGGCTGCTCAAGGCCCCATCTGACCTGGCCTTGAACACCTCTAGGGATCTGGGGGCATCCACAGCCTCTCTGGGCAATGTGTCAGCACCTCACCACCCTCTGACAAAGAGATCTTCCCCTAATTTAAATCTCCATTTTGTTTAAAACGATTCCCCCTTGTCTTATCGCTATCAGACCATGTAAAAAGTAATTCTTCCTCCTGACTATAAGCTCCTTGTAAGTTCTGAAAAGACCTAACATTTTAAAGTCAGTGTAAACATGTATTTATTTTAATAATTAAATGCCACTTAAAACTAAAGCTGGCAGAGGAGGAGAAAGGAGTGAGGATTTTCTGAGTGTTTTTGGTGGTGGGGAGCCATACGCTATGTGGACTTATCTAACTATGATTGAGACAGCCCCTTGTGTCCCAACAGTGAGTAGTGCCTTACTTGTTCTAGATGGTAGTGGTCAGAGCTGTAATGGTCATGAAGGTGCCCACGAGTGCAAATTCTTCGATTTTCACAGGATGCTGGAGATGCCAGAGTTCGCACAGGCTGTTCCCTTTTCTGAGAGGAGTTGGAGGAGCTATCTGTTGCATTCTGTAAGAAATGGAAAGGGGAAAAAGCTTGTAATATGTCCAACTGTTACAGCACGCAGTCTTAAAAGAGATGTTTTGCTACTCACTGACTTTGCACACACCTGCGATATTGGCAACACCTGACGGCAGGCAGCTTTCACAGGTTTCACATAAAACTCTTGAAAGAAGCAGGTTTGTTGCCAGGCCATAAAACACGTTGCCACACACATGGAAAAATTAAGTATACCATAGCCCACCAGTGACATATTCACCAACACCACTCATATGCAGTTGGCACATTATTTGTTGTACTAGGCACTGCGTGGTGGTGAATGTTCACACTGGAAGCTACCTCCGAAGCACATATTTAAACTCCTTCAAATGATGCTGTCATTTACATCCTGACGTGCATTCAGGACTGCAGAAATCCTGTTTTTTTTTTAAGCCTTCCTGAGTCAAAAAACTTCTTTCAGCATTCTTCTCCAAACGGTGAATTCCAGTTCACTGCAGGCAACTTAAATACTCAGCTTTCCTGTAAAAGTTTTTAGGGCTTTTCTTCTCCTTTTGTTGCTAATCTTTAATGTACAATGAACGTTACCTGTATTTTTTACACTGCTACCTCACTTTCTTTAGGTTAGTTAATTGCACTGCTCCACAGCAATGATTATGAAAGGGTGAAACACCGTGTAGTAACGTGGTGTTGGCAATTTGTGCAGCTTCTTAACACGTTTATTTCTCTTCCTGCAGAAATGCACAGCAGGATAACCCAGTCTTAGCCATCCCCTCTTCACAGCCCTTTCTTCCCATCAACATCTGCCTCTGACATGCATCAAGATAGATGGTGTACAAAACAGGAGGCATTATTTTTGGATGCAACCTTTGTATTTTCCTTACGATATCCAGACGTTCAGGCCCATGAATTCCTTTCATTGATGGTTAGACTTTTTCACATTACCACAAATATCGAAGGACAGCTGTTAAATGAACATCCCCTTGATGGCTCCTTTTGCCCATGGGTACAACTGACAGAAAAGCTGTGACATGACATGTTCCAAAAATACTGGTGCCACAAACAAAGAAAAATCTCCAACTCCCTTCAACTAACAACCCATGCTGCAGCTAAGGCAAACCCAACGGAGAGGTTTCTATTTGCCACAACATTAGGTGGAGACACAAACTCAACAGGGGAAGGTGGTTATATCAACAATGGCAGAAGACTGGTTTTTCCTGAAAAACCTTCTCTCTTGGTCAAGAATGCACTCTCTAAATATTATTTTTCAATGAATCGTACTAAACACGTCTCGTAATCCAAGAAGACAAGAACAGCCACTGTGGCTATTTGTTTATTCTCAAAACAACGCTTTGCAAGACGCTGCCCAAACGTGAACACACCTTAAAGCATTACAACACAAAATATTAGTCGACCCACTTTGACTCGTATAGCACTGAACTGCCACCTTGTTTTGTTGAAAGCAAATACACAGATCTGTTTGCGGTGTGGTGTGAAGTCAGACTGTGTTATCTGAGAAGTAAAACAAGCAGGATGAGTTCTGAACGGCTGACCCACCCTTTGTGAACCTACTTTTAATCCATGTGAGATTGTTGTGGTTTTTTTTTCCCCCCAATTATTTTACAATCAAGTATTTAGAATCAGAACAAGCCTTAAGTTATACTAATAAAACCTATGAAGTGCAACTGCACTGGTGTTCAGTTTTTTTCTTTTAATGGTTTCATCACCCCAGTCCTCATCTCTTACTAGATGCAGGCACTTCACACCTGGGGTTTAAGCTAAGTTTTGTGCCTGTAACTTCAAGCCCTACTATATCTAGCACTTTCTGGGGACACATGAAGACAAAATTAGCAGCTTCTACAGGCAAGTTCTTCAAAATAATATCAAGCTTCCAGGCTATTTTGAAAACCTTTGAAGAGTTAGGATTTAGTAACAAGAGCCCTCTCCTACAAGTACTTTTCTGCAGCACTGCATGTGGTGCAGACCTGGATGCAGAGCTTCAATTTCAGCTTCTTAGAACAGAAAGCCAAATACCTGTATTGCAGGCAGTTTTGTCCTGTAGCACGCTCTCAAAGTTAAACTTTGACTGTCATGAGCCAAAAAAGGAAGAAGGATTTAGCATGGTGCCGTGCCAGCAGGACCCTTCACCTTCAGTGGAAATGCAGACGAGCCCTGCTGGGACAAGCCTTCGTGGGTATGCTCCAACTACATTGTGGGTGCTCATGGTGAACACAAAGAAGCCTGGGAAACTCACTCATCTGGAGTAGGTGGCATACATTGGCCTGCAACCCTCTTGCTCTGCTAGATGGAAAGAAGTCCTGAACTGGATGTAACTGCTGGATAATCTTAGAGGGACAGCTGGGGGCTATAACCAGCCAACACAAAGTGTGCTGTTTGCTGAATGCACACATGGCTCCACGAGGAAAGCCATATTTCTGCAAGAGGCAATTGGAAGAAAGGCTGGAGCAATTTTTATCGTGCTGGATATCTTATCTACCCTTTGCTCCACGCCTTCACCTCCTTCAGAGCCAGCAGGGCAACTGAGCCTCTCCTTCACATGTGTCAACATGGCTACAAAACCTGTTTGCAGCATACCAAAGAGGCTTGCGGCTCAGGCCTCTGCTTTAACCATATTAAAAATTGCTTCATTTCCACATTCAGTGTCCTCAGATTTGAGGGGCAGTGTGCCAATGCAAACACTTGCTCTGAGCACCAATAAAGGTAGAAAGTAAGATATCCAAGTCTAGTTCTCTGCTCACTCTTCCATAAAAAAGTCTGCGCTGCCTCCAGGTTGACAAGGCTGAAGGCAACTGGTTGCAGGGTTGCAGCATGATGATAAAACATTCTCATGACAGTGAAGTTATTCAGAGGAGTAAAAATGAAAGCTGACCCTGAAAACTTGCTTAAGAACCTTATGATGCTAGAGGATCAGATGTTAAACAACAACAACACACTCTAATTACCACTAATACGCAATCTGATGGGAACATCTTGATCTGCCATGTACAATGATGTACTCTAAAATAACTATCGCTGCCGAGAAAAGAGGTCTTAGGGTTAAAACAAGCAGCTCTATGACAGAGAGCTCATCAGCAGATTAAAAAAAAAATACAAGTGCCAGCACTGAAATCTTCATAAGAGTATTTCCACCATGGCAAAGCTCCCATGGCAATCAACAGGACAATCAGAGGTTTCTGAATACGGGCTAACTAGTGAGGTTGGCTCTCTCCACCTTGGAAAAGAGATAATGGAAAGAAATGTGAAGACAGGAAGGAAGAAGTCTATAGAATCATGACTCCCATGTGGAAGGGGAGTAGGAAGTGATTATTATTCTTGTATCCTTTGGAAGAGAACACAAGGCACTTGGAACGTGCTCAGATAAGGTTCAAAAGAAGCAAGGACTTGAGATAAATCCCACAATGTGGTTCAAGAAGCCATACAGAAGCTCTCAGAAGAAAGTAACTGACCAAAAATCAAAGATAAGACGCTCAAGCCCCAAAAGCTGTGGTGCTCAACCACGTTACTACTATGGTTACTACTCAACTGCAACTGAATCTGAACTTGGTGACTGTTAAAAGTCAGACTCAACCCCAAGGAAAAGAACTTCACCCGTGATGGAAGCAGAAAACAATTCCTGTGCCATACAACACGACTGTGTTGGCTAGCATTTTCTGCTACCACCACAGCAGTGAAAATTTGGGGGAAGATGACAAAAGGGAAGACATCAGAGGTTTACTGCAGGTCACCCAAATATAACACACTTGCTTACAGGAATAAATCTAAAAAGCGCACAGTCTCTAGAGTCAGGCTATTTCACTGATGGAAAAGCATGTCCAAACCATTGGTTTCTAAGACAAACACTGTCTTCCTCTAAAGCCTGCTGAAACCAATCTGGCTCCACTGTTTTTTGAGAGGGAGAGAAAAAACTATTGAAAACATGCCCAGTAGTCACAGAAGAGGAATGAACCCAAACCTAAAGCAGTTGGAACAGCGAGTCCACAAAGAAACGCCGTTTCAACATGCCCTCGACGCTCAATTAGCGATTTCTGTGCGGCACATACTGCAGTTTTGTGATTGCTATGGCGGCTGCAAAGTCTTGTGGTTTTGCTGCTCGGATAACAAAATCATTAATCATGGCCATAATAGTAATTTTATAAAACCCACACTACACATTTCCTTCTGCAAGTGAGCTGAATGTATCTGAGCGAGCACACGTACCGCATGTGTGATACGGCTGCTTTGAGAAAAAAACACTGCATTTCTACGTGCAAATGGTTGTACTGTAATCATTAAAACGAAAGAAAAAAGTGTCCCTGGCCCCTGTTTCCCTCTCACAATTTAAGAAGTGACTCATTCAATTTAAAAAACCTAGTCATTAGTGCAGAAGATTATGTTAATAATTTACTGCAGTTTACTTCTCATTTAAATGGATTTGTTACACAAGAACAGCCGGCTAATCAGGTGCCTAAGTAATATTCTGAGATAAGTATCGATCATAAAAATGATGAGAAATAAGAAGCTTCCCCCTTTCCCAGCTACTGATCTGGATGAAAAGATCACCTTTCCTCCAAGGGCTTCACGGAACAGTTTTGTTCATACAGTGCAATATCCAGGGTGACCAGGAAAAAGAGCGGTTCATCTCCAAATTATGAAGCAGCTCGTCAGAAATCAGTTGCCTGAGGGAATTCATGGGAGCTGCTGCTTGCAGCTTCCACAAATGCTCTCAGCCAGCTACGGCAAGTTTGCTGTTAAGAATAATTGCTGGTCAAACAAGATGGTTTGTTCTTTCTGTAGGATTTTTACAGCTACATGAGATGGAGAAGGTGATGGGGAATAGAAGCATCACAATTTTGAACATGTCATTTTGCAATCAATGTCTCTGATCTGTGCCAGCCTGGCCTTTCTGAAGCATGAGCTGTCTGTGAGCTAACCTGTTCTCTATTGCACACGCTGCTCTGCGGCAGGTCTGCTGGCTGATTCATCCCCACCTGAAGGGTTCTCAATGCAGCCCA